CTAGACTGGGAGGCCCAAGGGAAAAGCTAGTTGCATGAATGCATGCAGACATACATTTAGTAGTCACTAACATCTTAGCATCTCCATATATAGGTAAGGATGTATTACAAACCTTCAATTTGTGCAGGAAAATAGAGTTCCATTACCAGAGTAAAAAGGCTACTGCTCCTAAAATTGCTTTATTTTCATTGTCCTAGGTTGTCCCAGGTGCACAAACTATATTTTAGCTTGTGCTACATTTTGATTTTCTCTGTTATGCTCTTTTCCAACTCACTTTTAGTGGCAGTCATTTAGAGCCCCGTATCAGTTATCAGTCTGCCTGTGCCACCTCCATGCTCGCCGTTAACCTCCTCCTGCATGCCTAGGACAGTCAGGCATGTTCTGTGTAACACTTTGGCATCATTGCTCATCTTATTTTGTAACAAATCATTTTCTTTAAATATCTTCAGCACTAGAGTTTCATCCCAGTATCCATGTGTGCTGCTATAACAATACCACTGCAACCATCATTACATTCCAGATGTTTGGCATAACTGATAAGCGACTGTAAGGTATTCTGTTAATTTGGGGAAATAATGCATCTCAGCTCTAGCCTACAATGCAATCAAGAGAAACTCCTAGAACTGTGGTCCATCTTCAGCCCTTCAGTAACCTGTTGTGAGCACTGACAGCCTGGAGCACAACCAGAGGATTCACCACTGCGAGTTAATGACTGTTTTCAGAGGTCAACCACTTGCCATTCAACTGCTGCCTTAAACTAGAGTGCCTAAATCTGTTGTTTGCCAACACTACCACTTACAGTATCCCACAAAGGGCTTTGTGTCTCAGCTCTTTTCACAGTGCTGCAGCTGCTGAGGTAGCCACGGTAGGTGTTTTCTAGAGCTCTACTTTACTGGATACATGGTGCATCCATGAATTTTATACATTGAAACGTGTATCTCTTCATTTGACTTTTAATATTTTTTTAAGATATTTTTATGGAAACTGTCTTTTAGTTTTTCACTATGACGTTCCAATTTCAATTACTGCAGTGCTAGTCCATTTCCAGGTGAAGCTTCATTGTATGGACCAGGTGACATTTGAGTGATACTTCGTAATGATCTTTGTGCACTTTCACTTGTAAACAATTGAAATTTGGATATGTTTATACGTGTAAATATAGTTGTCTGCAGTGCCCCTATTGCTTATGTTGTCTTGCCTTCCATTTGTGGTTCTATTAATAAACACATCATATCTGATTGATTAGGGTGATAAGAATTAGACTAGAGATGTTGGGGGGAGGGATACTTACATCAACACAAGCTTGTCAACCCAGCCACCTGCTGTTTGGCAGTGTACTATGGAATTATAATTAAAACATCCATTATGGAATAACAATTAAAACATGTTTTCTGGGGTCTGAAGCAGTATGTGGATGCAGCAGTGCTGGATTCTTTTTCACTTCAGTGTTATTAGGAACTGTACTACCAGTAAAACTGATCTGAGTGACTTTGTGTAGAGGTTTATTCCTTTTGTTATGTATACCACTATTACACAGCTTGACCTAGTGTACTTGGGGCCTATTAAACTCTAAAGTTTAGATTTTTGGAGCTTGTATACAGGGTTATTTATATAATAATGTGACATTACTCAATACTGACAAAACTACTTAAGGTAGTTTTTTGGGTTTGGGGTTGTTGGGGGGTTTGTTGGGATTGGGGTTGGTTTTTTTCTTTTTTTATTTTTTTTTTTTTCAGTTTTTAAAATCTAGTGCTTTTTTATTTTTGAGAAAACTTGGTGATTGTTGTGGGTCCCTTCCAACCCAGAATATTCTGTGATTCTGTAATTCTGTGAAGAGGAAGAAATGTGATCTGTGTATTTTCTGGTTAAGGGCCTGTGGTCTGCCTGGCTAACAGCCTTGGAGGTCAGTAATAACACTTCCTGATAAAAGACTAAATGTTCTTTTCACACTACTGTTTGTTTTTCTGAATCCAGGATTTGCTTCCTTATGGAGGCAGGTTGATTTCAAGAGGGTTAGTGCAACTTGTATGAGGGTTATTAAACATAGGAAAAAGCATTTGTACTTGCACAGCTTATAAATCACTTATTCTAAAATTCTGAACGTGAGTTGTCTTAAAGAATCAGACATTTTCCAGTAATTTTTTAATCCTTTTTTGTGCACATGTTGATTTCTTAAATGTTAAATGCTTTGTTTAAAAATAGTGTTCTCTGTTGAGAATATTTTCATGGAATAAAAAAATCTTTTCATGGTCTAAGTACTTAGCTTCCCCATTTGTCTTCTGTTAAAACTGACAGGCAGACTTTTAGGATGAGGTCTGTAAACTCTTGTTCTGGTGGTAAAAACCTCTGCTGTGACTGTAGACAGGAGGAACAGATTGTGGTGTTGGTTTGTTGTCATCCATACTCCAATATTTTCAGTGCTCTAAGAACATCTCACACTCCAGAAATGGGCGTACTGACAACAAGCACATGCAGCTCTGACTGTCATTCTTAAATATTTGTACCACATCTGAGGATAACCCTTACTCACCAATTCTGTATCTGACAAAGTGGGATTTGCTGCTAAGACTCTTTGTATAATAAACCGTGCACGCTGATTTCCTATAAAAAGTGCTAACACCTTAGGCTTTGCCTTCATCCAAGGAAAAGTACTTACCAAAGTGATTCATCTCAGTAACTGAAGCAATTTTAATAGATACATACACCCACGTTTACTCATGTCTGAAAGCATTTTAATTATCTGGATTGTTTGTTCTGGCCATTTTACCATTCAGCCCTGGCAGTGTAGCTTTTGTGCAGGCTCCAGCAAAAGCTGAAATAATACAGATGCTGTCTTAAAAAATGGGGAAGTTGTCTCAACACATACCCAGACTAACTTTGTAGTTTCACAGGCACAGTGATGTTTGGTCTTCTGGTTACAGATAAAGGATCATTTCTGCAACTTACAGTGTTTCTGTGATTTCTAAATATGCAAATTATTGTGCATAAAGATACACTTCACAATTCTATCTACATTTTTTTCTATATTCATTAAAGGAATATTATACAACAAAATTTCTGCCATGTCAGATAATTAATCTGTCATTTTATTTACACTATTTGCTTCATCTTAATAAGATGCCAGTGCCCTTACTCCTTGGCATCATTAAAACATTGCAACTTTTGCGGAAATAAAGGGATAACCTAAACTCTTTAAAGGGATCAGTAAATGACTTGGTGCCACAGTAAATAAATAATTTGTTTAGAAATCAGTAGTTTTAAAACAAGTGTGCATTGTGCAGTTAAAAGTTCTAAACATCTTGTGAAATGCAAGAAGTTTGTGCAGTATCAAATTGCCAGAAGAATGCTAAGGTTATTTCAAGTATATCACTTAAATAGTGTTTCCAGAGTCTTATATACTTAATTGTTCCACCAGCTTCACTGGAGGAGGTTCCAGTTTTCGTGAAAGTGCAGTTAAGATCCGGCTGAATTTCTCGTATCTTTCACTTTGATTAACTTGTGCTCCTTTGCTGCCCCAGAGCAATCTCATTTGAAATTCTGTCTTGAAGATTTCACTCAGCTCTTCATCTGGCTGGAAACCTAGCAAGCAAAAAGAATCCCACAGTATCACCACCAGGCAAATTATTTCATTCTGTAGAAATGGCTTTTAAACTGTCTTCTCTCCAAATAAGCTGTAGTGCACTGGGTTCTATTTGCACAATGATTTTAACAAGCTCCTGGAACAATGAAAATCCTTTCTGGCTTTGACATTATAGTAATGGCTGATGGCTATGGCTCTAAAAGGATGCTGGGATAGGCTAGCCTTGCTCAGTTCTAATGTCTAGAATTGTCATTATAGTCCAACCTTAAATATAATTACTAATGTATATATGCTGCCTGCAGAAATTACTGTATTTCTGCACACTCCCTTAACTTTTCCATTGCAAGCTTATAAAAGTCACATTGTGTTAGCATGTTGCTGCTTTCTGGCCATATGTGGTCACAGTCTCAGTGCTGCAACTTGCACTGTTGTGAAGAATCTTAGGGTGCTATTTTAGTTGTAATAATCAGAGTAGGAATTCTATAATGTACAGAAGACAGGAAGTTATCCTCAGTCTGTACTGTACATCTGTTGAGTTGCCAGAAGGGTCAGTGTATTGAGTCATGAGGACTTTGAGTATGTGTAACAAAAATGCTTGCTGGAGAGCTGTAGTGATGAGTAATTTACTGTCTGCTTTTAAACAATATTAATGTTGTCCTCAGACTGAGTTTCCTGCAGGACATTTGCTACTCTCTCGGCTCCTGCCAAAGAGGAGAATTTCTCTCTCTGACACCCGGGGGCACTTGGGCAGGCACACAGCTGGTGTGGCAGTGCAGCAGTCTCTCCTACCTTGCAGCAGCCGCTCTGCTGTCAGGCGAAACGTCTCGGCGTGCTGGGCGAGCAGGCGCGCTGTGCCCAAGTGCCTGAGCATTATTTCACCACTCTGGTCACTGCTTTCCCACAGCTCCATGCCTTCAAAAACAACAGCCTGGCGCTCCATCAAGGTAACAAGAGGCATCAGCAGTGGCACCGTTATGTTGTTCTGTGGAGCACTGATAGTTTCTGGAATGGAGTGAGTAACAATCATGTATGGCGTATCATCAGACATTATTGTTAACTGAAGAAGGTATTGTAACCGCAATGTTCTTTTTTAAGTTGGAAACTACTATTTGTCTTCAATCTTTTAAATGGAGCCTTCAAAAACCTTACCTTAAATATACCTGTCCTACCAGTTTCCAGTGAACGGGCGGGGGAAGAAGAACAACACAAATTCGTGTTGGAAAGCTGTGTTTGTTGCAGGGGAAACCTCTGCTGAATTACTAGACAGTGGCACAGAGCTTTTAAACACATTTTTTTAAATATAGACATTTTAAACATTTTCAAAATTGGTCATTCCAATAAAAATAATCCATGAGGCTAAAAAGTTTTCAGTGTCTACCTGTTCTCTTGGAGAGATGTTCTGAGAAATTTTCTCTGCCTTCCATCCCTTTAGAAACTAGAGCTGCAGTGAATCTGGCACAGGGGCACCTAATGTGACCAGAATTACCTAACCCATTCTTTTTATTTGAAGATTCATCCTCTGATCCAATGGACAAAGCAAATAAGAAGCAAAATCTGCCTGAATTAATTCTGCTGTGAGGAGAGATTTTTTTTCTTTCCTGTTTTTGTGGCAAGATGATGCAATGTGTCAGTTTCTGCTCAACACAGAGGAAGCAGGGGTATGGGAAGAATGTTACGTTCTGCAGGGATACAGGCATACAAACACATACTGATGTTTGGCTGGCAGACTTTGCTTCTATTCATAATCATATGGCATTATTATACAAGTTTACAGAATCATTTTAACATACAATGCACAGCTATGGAAAGAGCAGCTGCCTCATCTCCCCACACAGGAAATCAGTAGGGGGAGGGTTAAAATGCCAAATAGAAACCAGTGTCACTCATACTCACTAGTCCACTCATCTTGTCCTTCATGCAAAGCTTTGCAAGATGGTTTCAGCTGTTTTTCATACATAATGGCAGTCTGGGTATAACAATGTCTTAGAGCCGTCCAGGTTTGTTCTAACCTACTGACCTGTTCATGCAAAATAGAGAATACCCATTATTGACTCTGCAGCAGGAAAAGTACACTGCTAGTCACAGTCCTAGAATAGTCATGAAGACTAGTCTGATATTCTCTCTAGTCTTGAAGGAATTTCTCAAATTAAATTAAATAAGCCATCAAACAACTCCACATTTTGGAACATAAAGAGAAACAGATTCTACCTGTGGCATTTCCAGTGCTTTCATTATGGCAGAAAATCCATATAAATCCCCTAATGACTCCTTCAACTCCACAGCAACTTGGATGATCTTGTTTAATGTTGCTGCTCGATCTTCTACACTTCCTGTGCAACCCAAGATGTCAACAGCTATTCCTATTGCCATGGTACTGTGCCTGTAAGTGAAACAATTCATGTGACCAATTGCAATTACTGAATTTACATGTGTTCAAAAATCAGTTCAGAGGTGTATTTTTATCTTGGCATGCCCAGCAAACTTAGTCTTACCAAGGTCTTTGCACCAAAACCAATAATGACATATGGAATAAATACACACAAACTTCAAATTCTTTAATAAATTCTTCTGAGATACTGCTAACTATAAAAAATTCTGTTCAAGCAGTGAATGAACCAACACTTCTGGGAAAATTGCCCCAATTCCCTTTGTCAACAGAATTCAACAGAATGAGTAGGAAAAGACCTCCAACATCATTGAATCCAGCCCATGCCCTAACACCAAAAACTAGTCCTCCAAATTCAAATCCTGTGACCCCCTCGCCTATATCTCAGCAATCAAACTATTGAAGTATGAGGAAGAAAATGAAGATCAGAACACCCTAAGTGTTCCCCTTAACTTGTGCAGAAGTTTTCAGAAAACTTCGTTGATAATTTTTTTTCTTCATTAGATCCTTTAGCCTCTTGCCACATGCAGAAGGGCACTACCATTCAGTCTCCTCCACACACACATGCTCAGATTATAGGTCCCTGAATTTTAGTTTCCTTGAACTTGTAAAGGAGAGCTGATGGCATTCAGCTGTTCTGAAGACCCTGCTTTCAACACCTTTCCCCTTTCCCTGCACTACAGGTGCCTTGCGACCTTAAGGAATACTTTCCTAGTCAAAACGGATTTACATAGCATCTCAGTAAATCATCTGTACATGGGAATTCAGGAAACATGCAAGAGAGTATTCTTGGAGGAAATGAGAACAGTGCAGCCATGCTTTGAGATTCTGGCCATCGGCCCTGGCAGTGAGGAACAGGAACATTTACCTCTCAATCAGGTCAAGGCGCAGCTGATGTCCATAAGGCAAGGTGATCAATTCAAGACCAGAGTTCCCTCCCATATTCCTCCTCATCTCTTCAGAAACTTCTATTATCCTTGCCACCTGTCAAGCACAAAAAACTCTGCATGAATTTTGAAACTAACATTTTTCAAAAAAACCAAACCCTGCTAGCCACAGAGAAGTCCTCCAGGTAAGTGCATGGCATACAGAGCTAGGTGCACAGCATGCAACATTTTAATACAGGCATCAAAGAAAAACATCAACTTATGCATGTTCAGTGCCTTACACAAAAAAGCCAAGGAGATTTTTTTAAAATTATACAGCCACCAGAAAACATAAAAGGTGTGACCAAAATGCTTTATTAAATTCCATCCTCTGCTTCCAGAAAGGGATTACTATGCAGGTTCCAGGAAATGTAGTGTGCTCTCAACCTGATCCTTGTCAGAGAGGAACTGCTCTTTGCCTTAAGGACATACACACTTGCTTTGCCTTTTTCCTTTCTAAAATAAACTACTGCTCAGAACGTTTTTGGCTGCACCACAGGGCCCTAAACATGAATTAGGTTCATAAAAGTTTGTAAAGATGAATTGGGAAAAGGAAATTAAAGAAAAAGGACTAAGGAGGACACAATGTTGACTGCCTAATGAAGTCAGTGTGTGAAAGTTGACAACCTTACCTATTTGTCTTTGCTTTTTAAACAGATTGTATTAGCTACTCGTTATCTCAAAAACAATTATAATTGCTAATAATAAGCAAACCCACATTAATACGATGGTGTAAGATTATCTGCTGGTTTAAAGCCTGTATGTTGACATATTTACAAACCAATCTGCCTGCAATTTTCTGATACACCCATCAGCAGGCTTTTTTGGCTCTGAAACTTTGAAAGCAATGTGGGCTGTACAACAAGCCTCACCAGTACAAAACAGCACTGTAGAAAAACCTGTTTCACTTCTAGGGAAGCAGGAGTGATATGAATCCCCTGGAGACACTGATTGCTATTCCATCACAGGTATGCAAGTGGCAGACACCTCATCACCTACCATATGGGTGATTCTTTATTTGAAATGTCATTATTTAAGAGACAAACGGAACTACACTACTGATGACACAGAGGACATGTGAACTTTAGCCTGGGATCTCAGTACAAAGCATTCATTCTGGCCCAATTGACAGGCCAATCTCATTGCATCATGCAGTTCTTATCGGTGCAGTCTATGCAACAAGTTGGTAGTAAATGACAGGCACTGGCTCAGCACTTGGAGGTGAACATCAAACAGACTACTCTACCTGTCCCAGCTAGTTTCTGTTCCTGCTCCAAAATCCAAAAATCTGTTTCTGCAAAGCCCTCAAATGACTCTTAATTAATTCTAACAGGCTACTTGGTGCCTTAGTTCCATTGCAAAGTTTACAGTATTTAAAATAAGGAGTCTAATAATGAGATAATTGAATATTATATATATACATACATATATATATAAACTCACTACTTCTCTAAGGCATGCATATCCTATGCCTTCAAGCAACATACTCTTTAACAATATATTAAAAATAATTTAGTTATTAAGTTGAAGGAAGGAAAAAGTGAATTTTGGAACTAAAATGTTGGTGAATGATATTAATACTCTTGGAACCATAGTAAAGAAACCTCGATCTACCACTTCTGAGAAGAGTGAGCAGTTGTGGAGCCAAGTTGCTCTGAGTCACCTTGTCTGCATGAAGACTCACTTAGCAGCAGCCAACAGTGCTACTGAGGAAAGAAAAAGCTGTGTTTGCTGTTGGCAGGCCCCCAGTGCCTGTCAGGACTCCTGCTCCGCTGCTCCAGGGAACTGCCCCCTCCTCAGAGCTTGAGTGTCTGTCAGTGCAGCAGCAGCAGCAGCTGCCTGCTTCTGCTGTGCTTCTTCTGGAGCATCACCACTCCCACTTCCCTTCCTGTGTGCAATGGAGTTGCCCAGTAAGTAGCCATGTGTTTTGCTTCTCAAACTCTTCTTAAAAAGACTAAAACCACCAAAGCCCAACAAAGCTTGGGGGGGGTTTAGATACCCACCATACCATTAGGTTCCTGTAGCTGCTCTGCAGCAGGTACAGCACTCAGTCATGCCAGGAAAGTCATGCAGATTTAACTGCAGTTACATTTCTTTCATTACACAAAGTCATCATCTCATTAGATTATTCTCCTGTCTTTCTGATCCATTAGCTGATCTCCAAGCCCTGGCAGCTGACCAGAGTCTACAATGTGAAAAATAGTTCTTCGTGTATTTTACATCCTTTTAAGCAATTCCACTGGCACAGTTCTCTCACAGGAGAGAAAAGCACTGATAGCTATTTTCCCACAGCACCTATCCATCTGTAAGAGAGGAACTCAAAGATTAGAAGAGCAGCTGGTTTAAGTAGTTTAAATATATTTTGCTCCATTGAACATTGTATATAATGGCCATGTGGCAACCAGGTAGTGTCTGCCTGCACTTTGCCCTTAATGAGCTATTTCCTGTCGTGAGCAGTTTTCCCCACAGTGCTTTAGAGCATAGAGAGCTCTTCCTCCAATCCAAGAGAAAGGCTGAATCACGGGTATGCAGCAACTGATAGGACATTTAAAAGACATATGGAACTTTGAGGATTTGAGTCTAAAGTCAAGCATGATGGACCTTTAGTCCAAAGAGTTTGTGAACATTCTTATTCTTCAAATGAAAAACAAACACCCTAAAAATTCCTGCAAGCAATACAAACATCCAAATCTACCCATTATTCTTTTCAAATCAGTTCTTTAAAAAGTCTGAACCGGTACAATATAAAATAAAATGCATTATCTTTTTTTTTTTACCTTGCAGTCCATTCTAAGAATATGCTGTGCAATAATCTTTGGGTTATTGTTGGTGAAAAGCTCCTTAACTCTTCTTAACATGGATGTTTCCAATGGCTTGTTTTCAGGAGGAAGTAGTTTGGATTCAAAATCATTTGGTTTAAAACTAGACACTGTCTCATAAACAGGTGCAGAAAAGATGCTGTCTTCTTTAGCCACCTGAGTTGAAGCTTCTAAAGGATCTGCAGGGCTCATTGTAGGATCTTCATCAAGGATCAAATAGCTTGTTTCAGAGTTCCTGAATATTGCCCTCTCCTTTCGCATCAGATGTTCCACATAGCTGTTTTTCTGACACAAGTGTTGTTTTGCTGCTGTAGGATGTCTGTCAGGGTTTAGTTCACAATAGTGTCCTTCAGAGCTGTGGGAAGCCAAAGGAGAACCTGGGGGCTTCATCAGGGGTGCTTTGCTGGGTTTAGGTGGAGGCTTTGGACAGAGCTGACTGTCTGATCCTCTCAGAGCTTCCCCTATCTGTGACTCTGAGGTGACTTTCTGAATAACTGTGGGGCTTAGAGATGGTTCACTGCCTGTTCTAAATGCAGGTGAGCTGGGACAGGAGTTTGCATCTGCTTCAGGTAATCGAGATGGATGTCTTGAACCTGCAGGGGAAAACGGTGTTTTAGAAGGCCAAAATACATACAATTCCTGCTGCCTGTGCCAGGGTTCATCTCCTAATGCTATTTCCTAAGGATAATGTCAGATCATGTCAATTATTTGCTGGCAAAATTGTATATTTTGAGGAATGACCTAGCCAGCAAATTCCATTCATTTGCTGATCCACCCAAAATCCCAAATACATGGAACAGCTGCACCATAGTATTATTCTGTGGTAATGCTGACAATAATTCCAGTCTCTCCTGCATACATAGGCTATCCTGTCAGAGCTGGATGGCCTCCATGGCTTGGAATAGGAGGTTTTTTTGTAACCTGATCTAGGCTATAAAAACAGTGACTTCCAGCTGCATCACATAAAAAGATGAGTCATTTCTGAGAAGGACAAGTTTGAGATGAAAGCAAAACTTCCCAAAGTCATGCCTAAACCTGAACTAAGGTATGGAAGGAATGAACTTCAGAAACATGAATCTTTTTGTGAAACAGAGCTAGTTTGAAGAGCTGGGTCCATATACTTCTGTGTATTTATACTTCATCCTGTACTCATTGCATATGCAAACCTTGGCATCTGATATGGGATTGTCCTGTGTCAGACATTCCCAATCTGCAATTCTCAGCACATTTGCTGTCATCTACAGCAAAGTGGCCAGTCGCATCGTACGGGTATTACTGCTCGATTACAGATATAAAACAAAAATTCCAAATTACAGGCAGTATGATAACAGGACCTGCTCAAAGGATCCTATGACAAAATACACAGCAGAACTCTTCAGGCTGTTGTAGTACCAAAACAAAAGTATCTACAAGCCATTGATTGGAATAATCAATTCAACTACAGAGGGAGAGAAACATGCCTTATAAATGTCTGTACATCCCACGGTTAAAACACAGGAGTGCACTCTATCAAAATACAGTCTCACTGTACAAGTACTTAATATTCTCTTTATCATGAGAACTCTTCCTACACCAGATATGAAGAATTTTAACAGTATTATATTCAAAATGAGCAGCCTTGGAAGTCAATACTAGTTTGTCTGCATGGGAAGTGATGCATTATTGCAAGCTTCCATATACAGGTGTGTTAGTATGGAAACAATTGCTTAAACCTTCAAAGAATCTGAGAAAAAAAATTCCCCAATCAGCAACTGTTCTGTGTTGTCACAACCTGGATCCCTTGCTTAGGATGATAGTGGCCATGGAACCAGACAGCAGAAAAAGGAACAAAAAGCAAAAGGGATGGAGGGCACAGAGATTGGGGAAGACTGAAGAACAGAACTGTGTACAAAAGCCATGGTAGTGTTTTTCTCCTGGTGAGGAACATTACCTCATCTGCATAGTTTACCCTGAGAAAAAGTGGTTACCCAAATTTCCATGAAACACCCCTTCTACTTAATAAAGTTTTGTCAGAAATACATGAAAAGAACAAGTCTGTTCTTGTCAAGTACAAGTGAGGAAAGGTATACTATCAGAAAAGGTATTAATGCAAACCATAGCTGCCATTTTTTGGTGTGGAAGCCTGTGGAGTTGTGTGCTAAGGTTCTCAATTAGCTGGTGCATTGTAAATAAAAATCCTGTTCCAGTAACTTGAAGAGAAGCAGTATGTTAACACAGCTTACAGTGGCCATTAAATTTAATGTATTTACAGTACTCAGAACATTCAGCAGTCTCACTTTGGTCTGAAGAGTAACAGACCACCTGGACACACACCGATTCTAAGCATGAAACTTCTAATTACAAAACATACCTATCAGCAGATAGCTCTCTGACTGGTGAGCCTTTAAAGGGAATCTTTTCTCCAGAACATGATCCAAACTAGATGGCTGGCTACCACTTTTTTCTTTGTTTCTAGGGTAGACAAAAATGCAAACAAAAACGTATCAATATATGCAGCACTTAAAATATGTATCTAACTGCCAGAATATATCATAACCAGTGCAAGGATCATTAGCTTTCCACTTGGGAAGCTTATGATAATAAAGGTACTTCATTCATTCATAAACTGCTGTTGTGGTGGTAGTGAAATGGGCTATACCATATGTCACCCTACAGCATTTATGAAGGTATTTCCTTTCTAATGGAACACTTAATTTGGACACTGAAATTAGGATCCATTATCCCACACACAGGAGTTTTTATTTCAGAAGTCAACTATGGAAAAACAGACTTCTCTGGAGCAGCAGCAAGATGTTATTTTAATCCTTTGTCTTACATGGCTCAAGATTTGCCAAGTCACTGCAGTGCTGTTGTGCTTCCAGAGTCCACATTTGCTCTCACTTTGTGGATTTGCTCATCCTTTGCTAAAATCAGCAAATCCTCATGCCTAGTTCTTCCATCTCAAATCAGAGTGAAACCTCACATCACCTCCACTAGGATCTGATACACTTAGTCCATTTCCTTCCATAAGGACAGCAAAATTAAGGTACCTCAAAAGATTTCCTCTGGGTATGCTCTGCTCCAGGGATTGCATGCTGGATATACCAAGACTCAGCCTTTTTGCAGTTTCCACTTTTCCTTCAGGGGTGTTTGGCTCTTTTTGCTGGACTGAAGTTACACCATATTTTTCTTCTAGACACCTGAGAGGCACAGTCCTGTTGATAGGCTGAAAAATAATTGCTCCACTCTGCTTTGATATTGGTGTGCGATTCCCAACATAGTACCTAACTAAGCCAGGGATAGTGTCAAAACTTTCCAGTTCAAACTGATACTGAACACGACAGTAGGCTTCATTGAGTCTTAGAACTGTTTTGTTGATTTTAAAATGCTGAGGGGTATTTTTCCACTGACTTGTAAGAACAAAGTTCCCAGGACTGGAGAGAGAATCCCTAATCAGAAAATCTCCATCTCTCTGAACCAGGCCTTCTGCCACCTTTGAGGAAAAAGAATTATACAAAAAATTACTTTAAGAATCAGAAAACAATACATTACAACAAAATATTCTTAAACACAGGAATTAATTTGGCTACTCTGGGAGGATACATAAAGCCACAAATACAAAGAAAAGTGTGAAGTGTGGTAGAAGAATGATGTCTCCTATTCTTAATTAAAAGCTCATCCCACAACAGAGATCTGAAAAGGTTTCTTGGAAGGAGCCAACAGCCAGAAGCTGACCCACTTTTGCACGTGTATTTCCTCTAGTTTGCCAATAGAAAATAAGGCATGAAGGGAAAGTAGTGACCCAGGAATTTAAGTTTAAAGTACCTGAATATAGAGTCACAATCAAGTTCAGAAGCCATTAACACAAGATCCTGGATTCTGCCCTTTCATTGTTGCCTTACATGACAGAAGCTTTCATTTTTTTTATTCTTTGTGAACGCTGCATGCAAATACTAGTGACTAGGAAGAGTCAGAGACACCTAGCTTTTCTGTTTTGAGTTAGTAGTTTCATGTGATAAAAAGGACGCCAAGAGCAAAGTGCGGGGCAGCTGAGCCGGCCCTGCCCTGGGGCTGAGGGAGGCCCGCAGGGGGAGCTCCAGCGGCTCTGGAAGTTCCGATCCAACCTCAGCCTTACCGTGTTTGTAACTGCGTTTGATCGGATCTAAATGAAAGCGATTGAATTGATTTTGTTGCGTTTCTTTTCCCCCTCTCCCCCAAGTTCCAAGTGCAAGAGAGAAAGTAAACAACATTTTAACTTTCATTAAGAATACTGAACCAAATTAATGTCAGTGTTCTCTAAACAATATGTGATCACAGTATTCTTATACAAAGTTTAAATTCCATTTCCAGATTTATACAGTGCACAAAAATCCTGAAATATATCTGTTTGCCACCAGGGTCTGCCCTGAGTCCTTCCTCGGCCTCATTTTATGCCAAGCTGTGATATATACCACAGCTTTCATACAAATAGGCATTATGCTCCTACTAAATTAATCCAGGTACCAGAGATGTGTGCAGCACATCAGTGAAATTCTGCTCATCTGTAAAAGCTCCAAGCACACTTGGCAATGCCAAGGCCACCTACCTGCCGAGGAATACGTCCGTGGTACCAGGCATGGCTACGCAAGTCTTCACTACTCAGCTGCAGTTCTTCCTCTAATTCCTTCTTCAGTTTTTCCGGGCTGTTGTCCATAACTTGCCTCTCCCTAGAAAACTGCAATAAAAGATTAAAAGCTTCAACTGTGCCAAGTTTAGTGATTAACATTTTACCTGGGTTATAACTTCCATCATATGACCTGCACTGGAATGCAGGTGCTGCTTTCAGCAGGCTGGCTTGGCTTTGCTCTCTAGATTGTATTTGCAAACCCCAGCATTCTGTGAGATAACATGTGATTGTTCTACACCGCATGGAATGGAGCAAAGTGTTCTGCCTGTACACCAAACTAATAATGACACACCTACAAAGTCACTTCTCTTACTTCCTCTTTCCAATAAGAATTCTAGCTATATCCAAAAAAATGGAGCTGGACCCAAATGCCCTGCTCCAATATTCTTCCTCTTACTTAAAACTTACATTTTAAATTTAGATTCTTTCCCAGCAGCCCCCTTTGAACCCATCTGGTTAGGAATATTCCAAAAGTATCAAGACAGGCTAAGCTGGACATACTTAGCTGTTCAATATTTCTGTTGCCAAAGAACCAATTTGCCAAAGGAAAATTTCAGTCTTAAAGTGCTTACTCCTAATGGTCATGAAATCTGCTCATCCAAGACGTTCCTTTTCTAAAGGACAAAAGCTCTTGTTGCCCCTTAGCACAAATGGCACGAGTTTTGCTTGAAGATATCTCCATCATCACTATACAACTACTGCAAGATTTTCTGGAAAATTTCTTGTCTTCATCTACTCTTGGAGCACAGCTTTCATGCTGGCCCACTCTGGCTCGCTAGTCCTTATGAATGGCAGTGCTGCTCAGAGTGAGGTGCAGGATCTTCTCTGGAGTAGCCATGTTCTCTTTCACAAGCACTCAGAGGAGGGAAATACTTTGGACTTCCTTTCATTCTCCAAGGGCTGGGACTCCAGCCCATCTTTGTTGTGCTGAAAGGTTTCAAAAGCCTGAGAACATGTTCTACACTGATCAAAGAATCAGAGTATAACCTCTCTTCAGAGAAAGACCATTAAAAAAAAAAAAAAGAAAAAAGAGAGGGATAAGGAGAGAGGGGGGGGACCTCCAGCAAAATGCAGCATTTTGCTCCCATGTGTTATGGATTTTTTCTTAGGTCTGGACATGAGACAAAGCTCACAGGTTCTTTTAATTGACACACTGATGAAAATAAGAAACACACACATTATTTAAAAAAGAACTGGGAAGGTTTGCCCACCAATTCCTGTTCTTTCCATGAACACTGCTCTCTCTAGCTTTTTCTTCTTCACAGTGAATACTCACAGCACTGAACCATGGGAGCAGGTGGCACACATTTAACACTTCTTTTAACGAACCTCTCTGCAATTTCAGGCAGACTGAATTACAACACATTACCAGACAGCAGATTTTTGGTGGAATAATGCCAGAGGAGGCATCCTGCTGCCAAGGTAATTTAAACATGCTGGGAACCCAAAGAAATTCTGAGATAAATTCTCCTCTCTGCTTTTCTCAGAGAAAACGAAGGCTTCTCTTAGACAAACACTAGTAGCTAACATAGAAAGGCAGAGAATAAAAACAACCTGGTAAAGAATCACTTTTCACCTTAGTTTCCCTTCTGTGAACCAGAATAGGGTGTTATTTATCCATACAAGTATGGTTCAAAATGGACAAGCACTTTCAACAAGGAGCAAATTCTTTGTGCTTTTGTACATTAAGGTTCTGCATCAACTCCTTCCAAGCTTTATAGAAGACTGCAGAAAGAAACCATGCCATAAAAAAAAACCCCAACAAACCTTCACTGAATGTACAAGAAGCGACAGAAGAGAACTGAAGTTGTTGAGAACTGAAGTCCAAAAGCATACTGAAGTGTCAAAACATAAAGAAGGCCAAAAATGCCCCCTCCACGCCAAACCTTGTGACCTATCAGATCAGCACAGGTGAAGGACCTCTGGCACATGCCTACCACTTGTTATTTCCCAACTTAAATGGCTGGGAACCCATTTAAAGCTCACTGGCAACGATTCCAAAATTAACAGCCCTTTCACTGCCTTGTCTTAGAGAATGATAGCAAGTATTATAGCATCTACACAAGCTGAAGGTAAAGAGCACACAAATTGAGCTGAGGCTTTTCAAAAGCACCTTTTCCCCTGACTGCACAAGGAAGTGGCTGGACAACTTTTAAAATACTCCCTCCAGGGTAAACAAAAACATCCAGTTGCAATGGTGTAACAAGATCTTAAAGTCATAGCTGTGTGTTTTGCTGATCTTCTGAGAGGAACTACTACTTTAATGTGAATTTTATTTAAGGTTTCAAAAGATGCTTTTGACTGAAAAGAGGTCTTAAAGGACCCAAAGCTGCTACAGAAATTGTTACCATCTTTGCAAAAGCATTTCACTGTATCTCAGTGGTGGGCAGAGCTATTGAAAACAGAACAGACTATAGGATTCAAAGGCAGTAACTGAATTCGCTTAGGAGAGTTATACATTTATCCAACAAAAAGAACTACAGGTCTCTACCAAAGACCTATATAGGATGAAATGGACTAGTTTCATCCATGGTACTGAAATGAATTATCTTAAAAATACCAGGATGATCCACTTAGAGATACACATTAATTACAAATACAGCGTAGAAACCTAGAATGTCTTCTGGTGGTTGAATGGATTTTTCATTACTCAAATGAAGTTAAAGAGACACAAATTGAACCTGAACCACATCTTACAACACAGCAAAAAAAACCAAACAAACAACATTTAAGGAATCCAAACTAATTAAATAGAGAATTTTCATAATTATTGGTTTGCTAAAAATCCTCTCTACCATGGTCTACCACATGGAATACATTCTCCGACTGCCAGAGAGGTCAGACATCTCCTGAGATGAAGCAAACATGCTTAAATAACCTTAATGCAACTCAGAACTTAGTGAAAGAGCTCCAGTGGCTAGCACAAATCCCAGGATACATAAGGGGAAAACTGCCTAGGTAAGCAAGTTTAGCAATAGCATGTCTTCCTGGACAGTTTTTTGTTCACTGAGATTGATTTCTCATAGAACCTACTAAAGGAGAATTATGACTGAGAATACAGACTGATGAACTGTCTGTAATCTCACCAGCCAATACCCTTCTATGCTAAACACTACACCCAAGGTCTCTGCTCTGCAAGAATCTCTGCATACACTGAACTTCACATCACGAAAGGCTCAAAAATCACTCCAGGCACAGCCAGCGCAAGCACGTGAGCCTGGAAATAAAGAAGAGGGTAGGCTTACAACACTATCAGCTATGCCAATGGGCTTTCTCTCAAAAGAAAGGTGACATTCCACATAGCATGATGCAGATGCTTCAGCCTCATTTCCCAATGGCACCCAAAAGTTAATGGGCAACAATGGTAGGCTGCAAATTTGCGCTAACTTCATCCTGACAAACCTTCATTTAGCAGTATCTTGTTTTATTTCTTTGCCTAAGACACTTTGTTGGCTTCTACTCAACGGCTGAATTTACATTTACAGCTAGATAGTGAAGTGGATGGTAAAAAGGAATTTTAAAATAATCTAAGGAAAAATGAAAGACTTCCATGTATTTTGCAACAAAACATGGTTGAAGCAACACAGGGAAGCTTCCAGTTATACATGATGAGATCTTCAATAGTAACAACCCTGTCAGATATCCCTGGAATAAAAAGCATATCAAGTCAGCAGAACTGTTTTCTAATACAAATGCTTTTCCTGGCCTACAAAGAACTCCCTCTGTGTGCTTTCCAGAACTGTTTGTTCACATTTCACTTGCATTGTTTCCAGTCCTGGTGCTATTTTAAGATATTTCTGCCATGCTGAGTTTTTGTGAACAGGTCCTTAAAATAAAAATACATAACTACCTAGCAATACAATATTATTAGCCTCCATCAAAACCTCTCAATTCTATTTACATACATGATGGAAAACCTAGAGAGCCAATACTTTGGAAGGAGGAAAAAAAATCAGTCAGTAGTTATAAACTAAGAAACCCCTTGGCAGTTTATTATATTTCACAAAGGATTTCCACTTCAGGGCTATTAATCTAATAGCAAATTATGCTTACAGATGTAACAAGCTATCCTTAATTTTACATATTACTTTATTTTTTTTTCCAGGCAAATGTTAATCTACTCTACAAAAACCTGGAGAATACCAAAGTTTAAAGAAATAAAACATCAAACTATGATCTCATTTAGGGCAAATTTGAAGAGGACTTGACCTACCTACCACAATATGCTGTGCCTCTGAAATTTGTGAATGTAATTTAATGGGACTTTCTCACAATAATCTGCTGCTTAAGCATCCATGAGATTACTTTCATGTGAATGTTTGGCACTCTCCAAAGGCAACTTGCTTTAGCAAACTTGTGTTAACCATCCTAGCGGAATTTATCACATTAGATTGTGCTGAATAATCTACTGTATGAGGTTGGTAGTAAACGAGAGAAGTCCCACAGTTATTTCTGTATTGTTATTAATTCATTCCTCTCTAATGTGATGGTGTGTTTGGTTTATTGTTTTGGCATTTTTGTTCAGTTGTGGGGTTTTTAAAGGTTTCTTTTTTTTTTTTTTTCTCTAAAACAATTTGAATTATAAGAGAAAGGCTTTTAATTTTAGACACTGGAAGTGGTCCAAAATCTGTCATGCTAGAACCCCTCATCTGGTTCAGGATAAAGCCAAAATTCACATCATCTCTGTATCCTTCTGGCAAAGAAAGTATTATTTATGTAAAGCACAGCCAAGGCCTGTTACAGGTACCAGACTAAAGGGGGCCACATTCCCATCCAATCTCAATTACTTGCTGGTGCTTTGCACAGCTCTGCCAGGTAACAGTTAAATGAGCCCAACAGGCAGCCTTGGACATACCTGATTTCCTGTTGCCTTGAAGGTTTCAGGAAAAAGAGAAAAAGAGAAGAGATGGTTATTAGGGATAAATGAGAACAGCTTTGTGAAAACTGAAGTGTGATCTAAGGAAGAAAGCCAAGTCCATACCTTTCCCAAAATTTTAGTACTTTGTTTAAAGTTTTAATAAATGTACTGAATCCATCTCAACCAAAGC